ATAAAAATGAAGGTGAATTAATTTATAAAACATGAAGTAAAGTTCTTTTTAAATTTATTTGGTGCATTTTAAATGTATTTATTTATTTAACGGTTAATTTATCTATTCCTGTTTTTTATTTCTAATTATGTCAGTGTTGGTCCTCCGTACTGCAGAGGCCTGATAATCATCATATCAGGTGAGTTGGAGCAGAGAATCAAGTAGAACATGCAGGGCTGCGGCCCTCCAGGACCAGGATTAGAGCCTTACAGTGACTCAGCTGTCTGTGTAAACACGCTGAGTCATCAAATGCTGGTCTGTATGATTGACAGGCAGGTGCTCAGCTGACAGACTGAGGAGGATTTGTCCTGAACAGAACAATCCCCTCCAGACTGGTCAGATTGACATGTAGAACCTGTGGTTAACCAGGGGTCTTCAGGCGGACCCTCGCTGCAGCTCACCATGTCGTTCTTGTTCTCCAGGAAGATGGAGAGTTTCTTCAGGAAGGAGACCACCACCAGCAGCAGGTCCTGGTCCTCCCGGTCCAGAACCTTCACYAGCATCTGGACCAGGTTTCTGTTCCTCATCTTCAGCTCGGTGCGAGGGTCTTCAGCCAGGTTCAGCAGCAGACACAGAGCCACTGCAGAGTCCAGAGAACACCACGGGTCTGTTGGCGAAATATCACACCAGCCACAGGACCGGTTCTGGAGGGAAACCTGGAACCTGGATGGAGAATATCAAATGTCCAAATGTTTGTCTCAGTACCTCGGAGAAGCTGCTCCTGTTCGACCAGCAGACTCTGGTACTTTCTGAAGGACTTCTCCTGTTCTTCAGGTTCTGGTTCTCAGAGGAGTCTTCATGTGCCACAAGTCAAGGGTCTACAGAAACCACCTGAGACCAGGAGCTACCTCGACTGAAGCTGAGCTGCAAAACAACAACTAATAACATCTAACACACAAAGAAAGAACCAAACTTACATTTTCAATCATTAAAAATAAAACGTTCTRTACGTTTACAGGAAAAACTCACGAAAACATCCATAAAATCTAAATGTGTGGCTGGATAAATACACACCTGTAACAGGGAGGAGGGCGGAGCCATGTGGCTGCATCAGGTAAACACACCTGTGCTGAAATAAATGCTGAGTCAACACTGCTCAGGTTCATACATGGCACTCCGAGGGTAAAAAG